ATTTTCTCTATCCGCGACGGTGTCCGTAGACGTTAGCGGACCTGTGGCTCCGCGCGCCGCGGTTGCGTAGCGGGGTGGTGGTGCGCGTGCGTTGCGTGCGTGTGTGCGTGGTGGTGGTGGTGGTGGTGGTGGTGGTGGTGGTGGTGGTGGTGGTGGTGGTGGTGGTGGTGGTGGTGGTGGTGGTGGTGGTTGTGTTGGTGGTGGTGGTGGTGGTGGTGGTGGTGGTGGTGGTGGTGGTGGTGGTGGTGGTGGTGGTGGTGGTGGTGCGGGCGGATGGGCGCGCGAGAAAGAGGCCCGCGCTGGGGCGAGAACGCCATCCTGAACGACGGAGGCCAAACACCGATCCGAAAATGAGGCCCACGCTGCAGCGGGAGCACGATTCGGAACGATTCGGGGGCAGAAATGAGGCCGGCGCCTCAGCGAGAGCAGTATTTTGAAAAAAAACGCAGGCGAAAACCCGTTTCCACGGAATCCTGCGTGTAAGAAAACAGTACGCGGGGGGGGGGTGTCGGGTATCTTCGGGACGCCATCAGGGGGGAAGTGGGAGAGTATTTTCATATTGTGTAATTGTGGAGGCGGAGGAGGAGGAGCTGGAGGTGGAGGTGGAGGAGGAGGGAGACGGAGGAACGAGGCACGAGGACGAGGACGAGGACGAGGAGGAGGAGGAGGACGGAGGAGGAAGAGGAGAGGAGGAGGAGGAGGAGGTGAGAGGTGAGGAGGAGGAGGAGGGGGAGGGGGGGAGGAGGAGGAGGTGGAGGAGGAGGAAAGGGAGGAGGAGGGATGGAGGAGGAGGTGGAGGTAGGAGGAGGAGGAGGAGGCGGAGGAGGAGGAGGGGAGGAGGAGGAGGAGGAGGCGGAGGAGGAGGAGGAGGAGGAGGAGGAGGAGGAGGATGAGGAGGAGGAGGGGGAGGAGGAGGAGGAGGAGGAGGAGGAGGAGGAGGAGGAGGAGGAGGAGGAGGAGGAGGATGGGCCGCCTGAGGTGCGCACTCGGGTTCAGGCCCTGCGCCAGAACCACCAGTTCATGTTCCAGCGCACGCGCTGGAAGGGGCAGCGGCGGCCCCTCGGGACGCCGCAGACGTGAGCGGGCAGCGGGGGCTGGAGGAGGAGGGCGCTCTGGCCCTGTGGCACACCTTGGGCGGTGCCAGTACCAGACCCCTCCACGTTGTGGGTAAATCACGACGGGAGGTTTTTCGCTATTTTCGGCCGCTAGGGGCCCTCACCAGGCCTCGGGACCGTCAAAACACGACTCGGGATGAAAAGCCGGTCCCAGGGAGAGGATCCGGGCCTCCTGTGGGTCGGGTCGTGAATAAATCACGACGTGGGGTGTCTGGGAAGGGGGGCTACCACTACAGTGCAGGACTCTTTGCTTCCTCTGTTCTGCCTCTTCCTGCGCTTCAGCCTTTTCCTCTTTCCTTCCTCCTCCTCCTCCTCGTCCTCCTCCTCCTCCTTTTTCTCCTTTCTTCCTATTGGTACGGTCCTTCGCATTGTTTCCTCCGCATTATCCCTTTTTCCCTCTGGGACTCCTGCGTCCTGTCTACATCGTAACTCTGGCTCCAGGGACACGGCCAGGAACTTTTGGACCTGGCGTCGCCCCTCCGGTTCTGGCCCGCCACGCTGCGGCGCGACACGCCATCCACTCCCTAGTCTCCGAGCGTCCACCTCCCGTGAGTTTTCCCGAGCCGCCGCGCCCCGCGGAACGGAGCGACGCGCTACCCGCTCGCAAGGCATGTGTAGCGCATCGCTGGGGCAGCCACGACGACATGCTATCGCAAATCCGGCACACAACGTATACACAAACACCCCCCATTGGATCGCTCCTGGGCCCAAGGGGAGGGCGGCGGTGTACAGATCACCACTGAGAGCCAGCGACCTTTTTTACAAAATGAGGTACATGCAAAATTCGTCGGAGTGCGTCTGCGTATGAATGTACATGCATATATGTATATATGTATGTATGTATGTATGCATGCATGCTCGCATGCATGCATGCATGTATCTATGTATGTTTGTATGTATGTATGCATGCAGGCATGTATGCATTTGTATTTATCTATGCATGCATGCATGTATGTATGTATGCATGTATGTATGTATGTATGTGTATATATGCATGTATGCATGTCTGTCTGTCTGTCTGTCTGTCTGTCTGTATGTATGTATGTATGTATGTATGCCGGTGTGCGTATGTATGTAGGTATGTATGCATGCATGCATGCATGTATGCATGCATGCATGTATGTATGTATGCATGTATGTATGTGTGCATGTATGTATGTATGTATGTATGGATGTATGCATGTATGTATGTTTGTATGCATGTATGTATGTACGTATGTGTGTTTGTATGTGTGTACGTATGTATGTATGTATATATGTATATATGCATGTATGCATGCAGGCATGCATGCATGTATGTATGTATGTATGCAGGTGTGTGTATGTATGTATGTATGTATGTATGTATGCATCTATGCATGTATGTATGTACGTACGTACGTACGTCTGTCTGTCTGTCTGTCTGTCTGTCTGTATGTATGTATGTATGCCTGTATGTATGTATGTATGTATGTGTGTGTATGTATGTATGTTTGTGTGTGAATATACATATGTATATACATATACCTATATATGTATGTGTATATATATATATATATACCTATGTGTTCGGGGCGTACCAAAGTTCACGAGCGTAGGCGCACACGATCCGAAATCTTGCTCCCAGGAGTCAATGGGCACCTTCGTCGTCGGTTCGTCCATGCTCGCGTTTCCCTGAGGTGCCCAGAGGGCTTCCTGTGGCCTCCGGGGCCACCGGGGGCTCAGACGCTCCCGTGGGGCACCCGCTGGCAGGACGTTTTTGTTGATCTCGCGCGACTGCTGTGGCCCTTGCCAGGTCGAGGATCGAGCAGGGAAGCTCCAGGATCGGGCGCCGTGTTGGTGCGCCTTGGGGTGTGTTGGCTCGTCCTCCTCCTCCTCCTCCTCCTCCTCCTCCTCCTCCTCCTCCTCTCCTCCTCCTCCCCCTTTTTCTCTGCCTTTCCCGCCGTGTTGGACGCCTTGGGTCCGGGATCCAGCCGTGAGGGTGTGCCCGAGGGGGTGTCTGCCGTCGTTCTGGGCGGGGGCGAAGATCCAGGATCCAGCCGTTCTCGTGCGCCGTGGGGCGCTCGGGGGCCGTTCTGGGCGGGCGCGTGCGGGGTCCCCCTGGCTGGCTCGGGAGGAGTTGCCCCCCCCCCCCCCCCGCCAGTGGTGGCCCCCTGTGGCATCACTGCCTGGGCCTGCGGCGCCACCACCAGATGTCTGCTCGAGTGCGCCCTGCCAGGCCCGACCCAGACCTCCCGGCGTCGCAAAGCATAGCGCAAGCACGAGGACCGCCCTTTTGCCGCTTTGCTCCCCTGTCCTTTCGGCATCCAGGGGCGCCGTGTTTCCTCGGGCCTTGGGAGAGACCCGCGGCAAAACGCGCAGCCCTGGGGAAGCAGGGCCGAGAGCTCCGGGGGGGAACACGCCGTAACGGCCACGACGCCGTGACGACGAGGCCACGGCGCCGCGGAGGTCTGGGTGCCATCGGCACCTCGGACCCGGCGAGCGCGCGCGCCTGACTGCCGGGGCGATCTCTGCGAGCGGTGACCCGCCCCCCGGACACCAAAAAGGCGCACCGGGCGGGCTGCGGCGGCGGTGTGCAGCTCGGCCGGGCGGGGCCAGGACCGGCGACGCGTCGCTCCGGGGCGCTCCCAGAGCGTTCGGCGAGCGAACGGCCACGGCGCCCGAGACATCCTCCAGACCCAGACCCCCGACGTCAGGTTCGCTGTTGTTGTTGATGTTGTTTGTTGTTGTTGTTGTTGTTGTTGTTGCTGTTGCTGTTGCTGTTGCTGTTGCTGTTGCTGTTGCTGTTGCTGTTGCTGTTGCTGTTGCTGTTGTTGTTGTTGTTGTTGTTGCTGTTGTTGTTGATGTTGTTGTTGTTGCTGTTGCTGTTGCTGTTGCTGTTGCTGTTGCTGTTGCTGTTGTTGTTGTTGTTGGTGTTGGTGTTGGTATTGGTGTTGTTGTTGTTGTTGTTGTTGTTGTTGGTATTGTTGTTGTTGTGGTTGTTGTTATTGCTGTTGCTGTTGCTGTTGCTGTTGCTGTTGCTGTTGCTGTTGCTGTTGCTGTTGCTGTTGCGTTGTGGTTAAAGAAATCGGGGGGGGGGCCAGCGGTCTCGGCCCATTCCCCGGGACCTGCTTCTCATCCAGAGTCGTTCTTTGACGGTCCGGAGGGCCGGCGAGGGCCCCCAGAGGCGGAAAATATCAAAACAACTCCCGTCGCGATTTTTTCATGACTCGAGGGGGTCTGGGTCTAGAGCCGGTTCCCTTCCGCGACCGGAGGCTCGCCACGACGACGACGACGAAAATGACGACGACGACGATGACGACGACGACAGCGACGACGACCACGACGACGACGACGACGACGACGACGACGACGACGACGACGGACGGCGTCGGCGACGACGACGGCGACGGCGACGGCGACGGCGACGGCGACGGCGACGGCGATGGCGACGACGACGACGACGACGACGACGACGACGACGACGGCGGCGGGCGACGGCGCGAGCGCGATGCAGAGCTCTCAGCCTCTTGCATGCAGATGAGTGGAGGAGAGTGTCAGCGGAGGAAAGCAGTACCCCCACCGCTACTGTCTGGTCGAGGTATAAAATCGACGTCGGTTCGGGGAGGGTACCCTGATGCTCTTCGAGTTAGTTGGATGTTCTTGCGCGTCCCCGGGAGGGTACCCTCGGATGTTCTGTGTGTGTGTTTTGGCCACCAGAGGGTCTCACGTTCTTGAACGATGCTCTTCTATCCCAGGTCCAACCGTACCCCCCTCCGTTTCCCTCTCTTTGGGGCCCTCTGGGGAGGCCTTCGTCGCCACTGCTGGACTCGCCTCGAAGTGCTGGTCAGAACGCACCCCGGGAGAGGTCCGTGGAGCAGCGGTAGCGGTGCCTTTTGATTTCTGCACGAGTGGGCCCGGGGGAAGGAAGAAGGCCTAACGGCGGCCGCCGTGGCGCATGAGCTGAGCGGGCCATTCGCCGTGGGTGGGGCGCGCGGCCTGTAGAGAAGCTCTCTTGCTCTCTCCTCCTCTCCTCGCCATCTTCTCCTCTCCTCCCCTCTGCTCCTTTCGCCTCCTCCAGCTCCTTATCCCTCCTTCCCTCTTGCCCTTCCCTTCCCGATTTTTTCCTCATCATCCTCATCCTCCGCCTCCTTCTTCTTCCTTTTCTCCCTTCTTCCTCATCGTTCTCCTCCCCACTCATCCCCTCTCCCCCTCCTCCTCCACCTCCTCCTCCTCCTCCTCCTCCTCCTCCTCCTCTTCCTCCTCCCCCTCCTCCATTCTTTATTAGAGATAACTCCTCCCTGTCGCACCCCGAGGCCAGTTTTTAGGGCGGGCCGGGCGTTTCGCCTGAGACATCCTCACAATTTATGAACATGAGGGTTAAACAGTGAACGGTTTCACATATGAAGGGCGGGTGGTTTTCAACATGTGGCTCTCGCTTTAGCGTCGCGCACATTCGTTTTCAAAAATTGCAAGAGTTTCGCAGATTGAGGGCGGGTGGTTTTCAAAATGTGGCTCTCGCCGTAGCGCCGCGCACATTCGTTTTCAAAATCTGCAAGAGTTTAACGGATTGAGGGCTAGTGGTTTTCAAAATGTGGCTCTCGCCGTAGCGCCGCGCACATTCGTTTTCAAAATCTGCAAGAGTTTAACGGATTGAGGGCGGGTGGTTTTCAACATGTGGCTCTCGCCGTAGCGCCGCGCACATTCGTTTACAAAATTTGCAAGAGCTTCACGAATTGAGGGCGGGTGATTTTCAGAATGTGGCTCTCGCCGTAGTGCCCCGCACATTATGTGTAAAAGTTGGCAAGAGCTTCACGGATTGAGGGTGTGTGGTTTTCAAAATGTGGTTCTCGCCTTAGCGCCGCGCGCATTTGTTTTCGACATTTGCAGGAGTTTCGCGGGTTCCCATGATTAGCGTACCAAGCATGGTGTTTCGGAAGGCAGGATTCTGCGAATGCAACAGGTATGTTGACTCGCGGTGTTGAATCCCAAACATGGTATTATGGCACGATTCCGGATCGCCAAAACGCAGCAGTCAGGTTGATACGTGGCGTTGAAATCCCGAGAACAATGTTTTCGCATGCTCCAGAATCTTCAAACGGTTGTCTTCCAACGAGGCAGTTCCCTCAATGGAAATGAACCGCTGTAAGGGCCTATGAAGAGGGAGCTTGGAGGCAGGGTTAATTCCAAAATCGTTGATGACTCTTGGATTTACACTGGTCCTCCTCCTCCTCCTCCTCCTCCTCCTCCTCAGCCGCCGTCTCCTGCTCTAGCCCCATTCTTCGCGGCCCAGCAGGCACTCCACGCAGAGCAGCTTCCGCCCCCAGGGCACCCTTCATGTCATGCCAGCGCGGCTGGCCATCCATATTTCTTCTCTCGCGATCTTCTGGATGACATTCCCGAGCTGGGGTGTGTACAACCCGCGCAGCACGGGCGAGCCACTGAGAAGCTCGGAGCGGCCGAGACAGTTCAGCGCAGGCGACGTCATCGCGTTACCAGCCGCTCGTCGCAGGCAGCACGCCTCCAGCCCCGTCGACCAGCTCCAGACCTACCAGCACCGCATCGTCACGAGGGGTTACGGCAGTGGATCTTTCACCAACAATCACGCGGGCGTGGCCAACGCGTTCAGCAACCGCTACCGCCTCAAGTGTGTGACCGCGCTCCCCCGCCCGCCGCCGAACATGCAAGGACGCGCAGGAGCCAGCCTTCGTAGAGGAGGACTAGACACGAATCTCTTCGTTGCGGCTCTTCCTCCACGGTCAGGGCTCGCCAAGCGCCACTACGCTCGGATCAAGACGATCAACGAGAAGCTCAAGCGGATTTACAAGACCCAGAACGCGACGCCCACCAGGAGCACGCCGATCAGCGGCCTCGACCTGCACGACCACTACGGCCAGGAAGATTTGCTTCCCGCCTCGCCCAGCTTTGCGAGCGGAGACTCTGGCCCTACAGGAGTACCTAGAGAGGCAACCGCCGCCTTCCACTTCGTGCTCGGCGTGCACGGCAGGTGCATCCTGAACATTTTCTGGCACGCGAGGCCCATGTACACCGGCGCCCATGGACGGGCCACTCGCCCCGACTACATTGCATTGCCCCACGGTCTATGTTCCCGCACTACTTCTTGCAGAATCAGTCGGCGAAAGGCCAAGGCACCTCAACTCATCAATGACAACGTGCCGCGCGACCCTGTCCTACTGAATGCAGCCGCCAACGTCATCATCCCGAACGTGTTCACAGATCTAAAGATGACCGCCTGGGACTACGACAAGACGGCCCTGGCCCTGCAGAAGGGCAAGTACCGCAAGGAGTTCAATGGCGCGCAGGAGTTCTACATCGGCAAGCACCAGGACAAGCAGCAGAAGGTGTTCGGGGACCGCACAGCGGACGAATGCGGGGAGCTCATCGTGAACATCATGAAGGAGGCGGCCAAGCCCTTCTTCGAGCGCCAGAAGCCCAAGCTCGACCAATACTACCATCTCATGAAGTAACGTCTGCGGCTACTCCAGGCGCGCCCCAAGCTCAGAGAGGAGTACATCGGGACCGCCCCCAACTACGAGATCGAGTACCAGACCGAGGTCCTCACACCTCCCCTCGAGAAGCAGAAGAGCCAGCACGAAACACGAAGACAACACCTGCGAGCACTCGAAGGCGTCATTAAGCGGCTCAAGTACTTCAAGAAGCGCGCCTCAGTGCCAGACTGGCCACTGCCCGAGATCTTCTTGATGATCTTACTGCCCACCTATTGCACCAAGCAGAAGCCGATGACGACAGGCGTGAGCTACGATGACGAGCTCGCTGAGGCACCCCTCGCGCAGGAGAGCTTCGAGTCAGTCCTCTACCTCGCGCACCGCGTCGGCTTCGCCCCTCTCAATGCCCACCACAGCCAGAGCCGCACCCTCGATAAGAAGAACGGCAAGCCTAAGGTCCGCGGCTTGCGCATACACCACATGCCGCCCCCCTACTGGCGCTGCTCCTACAGGCAGCTTCAGCGCATGTCCAAGCCGAGGCCACCTCCACCTCATGCTCATGGCTGCTGGCCTCAGCTGCGGCGCCCAGTCCCCACACGACGCCAACAACGAGGAGGTGAAGCCTACCAGACCAAGTGCGACCACAAGCTGAAGAAGCCGCTCGCGGTGATGCTCAAGCAAGGTCTGGCCAACACTCAGCAGATCGCTTGGGTCGTGTCCGCGGTCTACAGCTCGTATCCGATGCCGACTCAGACCAAAGAGATCAGGCGCTCCGAGCCTGCAGGGAGATCTACACGGACAAGTGCACGGAGGCGGGCAAGGGACATTCGCTTAGTTCGACCCACTGCTTCGAGGACGTGGGCGCCAAGACCAAGAGCATTCTCACAGAGCACGGGAAGTTCGAGGACCAGTTCGGTGCGGCGACAGACCTCTGCAACGTGAATCACCTGACGATCAGCAAGTGCCACGACTGCAACCAGGCGAAGTTCACACTGTATACCGAGCAGGGGCCCTCGACCGCCGCGGTGGCCGAGGCGGATCCCCAAGAGGAGCAGAAGCAGCAGTGCAACTCCAAGGACAGCACCCACAGAGCGCCGCTTCAAGGGAGAGCTACGGTGAAGAAGGGCATACCACCAGCGGGAGTCTGAGGACGAGCTGGCTACGTGGTGGGCAGGGCTATGACTACGAGTTCGAGAATATGGATGGCCGACACGACTACGCCTCGTTCGGCAAGGTGATCGGCGTGCGTGGCGCTGTGATCACAATGAAGATGCCGCTCTGAGCGGCGACGGCGGGGGCCCATCTTTGCGGCCGAATTCACTGCCTTGCCCCCCAATGCCGCTCTACCTATCTACCTCCTCCTCCTCCTCCTCCTCCTCCTCCCCCTCCTCCTCCTCCCCTCCTTTTCCGTTTTCCTGCCTCGAGACTTGTTTCAAGAGGCTCTTCCTGAAGCCCGAGATGCTCCACGTGTTCCTGGTCCTGGGCGCCATCGGCCTCAACGCGCTGCTCACCGTGCTCGCCATAAGCATACTGTTCGCTCCTCGCCACTGATTGCCGCTGTCGCCCAGCGCCTGCTCAAGATTGTGGCCCGTCACAAGTCGGAGATCCTCGCTTTGGTCTTCTGGATTGCATTCTACATGTCAGCTTCAGCGGTGCCCATGTCCGTGGGCGTGGGCTGTCGTTCGTTCTTGGGTTTGCTGCTTGGATGGCGAGTGCTCGGATCATGGATCATCCACTGCGGAAGCTGGTGCCGATACCGCTACTCCCCGGACCGCTCCTGGGCTGCGTTCTGACCAGAATTTCGAGGCGAATCCCGCGGTGGCGACGAGGGCCTCCGCGGAGGCCGAACACGGGGAGAAGGGGCGATGGGGGTAGAGGCATCGGTGCCTTTTCCTCCTCCGATTCCACCCCCGCTGGCCCACGTCGCTGTGCCTGTGGCTGTCGGGTCGGCATCGCCTCCCCTCGGGGCACTCTGCCAGGGCGCCCCGCGGTGGAGCGCGCTGCTCTCGGGCAGGATCCCGCCCGTCCCCCTCCGTCCGCCCCCTGCCCCCTCTGGAGCGGTGGGGCCCTGCCGCCTCGGAGGCCCTCGCCGGTCGCGGATGGCGGCCGCCCCGTTCATGCTGTGTACAGTGGGCAGCCCATCCGCATCCGCCTCCTGATCCTCCTCCTCCTCCTCCTCCTCCTCCTCCTCCTCCTCCTCCTCCTCCTCCTTCTCCTCCTCCTCCTCCCCCTCCTCCGCCTCCTCCTCCTGTGCTATTCCGTCTCGGCCTCTCCCTCCCTCCCTCTTTCTCTCTCGAGCCGTCTGGCGCGAAGCTGTGCTCTCGCCGCGAGGGTTCGGTCCAGGATGCTCGCCGGACCGGCCAGCAGGTCCGAAGAGGAAGCTGCGGCCCCGGTCCGGCGTGGCGTCCCGGGCCCGCCGCTGGACGCCGAGTGAAGCTTCTCCTCGTGCGGCTCGTCCGGCTCGGCTCTTTCGGCTGGGGCTGCGGCCGCCTCGGCGACGTGCTCCCCGGCCCCAGCAGTCTGGGGCGTCGCCTCCGATGCACCATCTTGCTTCCAGCGAGCCCTGC